ATATATTTAAAGTTTTATCTCAATTAAATTATTATTTATTAAATTATAATAAAAAATATCAGTGCCATTTTTTTTGAACACCACTGTATATAATATAAAGTAAAACAATAAAATAATAAATTAATGATTTATTCTAATTATCCTAATACCTTTAAAATTCCTTACTAATAATTAGAGAAACTAAAAATAAAACAAAATAAAACTATTGATATTTGTTAACTTATACTATTATAATATCAAATACTTTTTAAAATTGAATATTATATGTCATATATTATATACTAAATATTACTTGTATATGTTATATATTTTAAGTATAATAAAGAATTATAAACTCAAATATCTCACTTAACAATAAAAAAAGAATTATAAACTCAAGATATTTCAAGTTTTAGATATTTTAGAGAGATATAAATTGAACTATTGTATTTTTAGAATATTGCTTCTTCTATTGACTTGTTTATGCCACTTGTATAATATATCTTATATTACTTATTTTATCAATAATATTGTTATATTTGATATAAATCATATAAAAAATAAAATATTAAGTATTTAAATAGTACTGTCAAGTATTCTCAAAATTATATGTATTGAAATTGTTTTTTTTAATTTTAAGTTGAATTTCTTAATTCATTAAAGTTTACTTTTATAAGAGTTTTATATATTAAAATTCTTTAAAAATATATTTTATTAATCATATAAAATTTTTTTAAAATTAAGACTTATGAATGCTTACTTTTTTAATATGATAATATGAGATCATATATTGCTACTAAAGATAGATCCCTAAACAGGTGATAACTATTTGTTACCTGTTTTGATTATTAAACTTTTATAACCTAAATTGATCTAGATATAACCTAAACTAGATAATATTTAAAATCATATGGTTTAGGGACCCATCTTTAATTGTCACTATATATGTGATGTAAATTATTTTGCTGTTGACTCAATTCCCAAAATCCTTAAAAATAATTATATCATGACTCAATTATTTATATGTTTTAATAGTGACTCAATTAATTGCGTCAATTGCGTTAAGGATCTACAAATTTCAGCAACATGTATAATTGTCACTATAGTTATATAATTTATTAACAAAAATAAAATTTGTAAAATAAATTGATTTTCCAAAGTTCAAATTTCAATTTAATAAAAAATCTTTATTTAAAATAAAAAAATCTGTATATTGAAAGTCAAAATCAAAAAATCTCTGTGATTTTGACATTTTTGTTAAAAGAGTATAGTATAATATATTACCTGAGTATTGTTATAAGCTTATTAAAAGTATGTTTGATTATATTACTGCTTGTATTAGAACTAATGGAGAGCCTACAAAGTATTAAAATTTAGTTAGTTATAATTTTTAAAAAATTAAAAATTAAAAATTAAAAAAAATAAAAAAAATTTAAGCTATAGTTTTTTTTTGCATAATTTTTAAAATTTTAATGTGACATATTTTATTATTTATTAAACATGTAGTAAAATTTTTATATTACATTTATTTATGTAATTTTAAATAATTAAAGGCAAAAATTGTTTATAATAATATAGTATTCCACTGTATTTTCTTTATACAGTATATATATATATATAATATTTGTATTGGTTTTTTATTTTTGTAATTTCTATAAAAAAAAACAACAAAATTTGAATTTATAATATATAATTGCAAAGATGATTTAATTTTATTGAAAACTTAGAACTTAAATTTTATTCAATACTTTACCTTTATAAAGACCTTATATACTATTAATAAACAAGTTGGATTAAATAATTTTATACAATATATTTCAATATTTTCCATAATATATTATATTTGCTTGTTTTAAAGTAGACATGTTTTTTGTTTTTTTTCTTGGTTTTGAGTTGCAAATGTTTGATTAATTGAACACAATTGCAAAAACACAAAATAGTTTTTTTGTTTTCTATATAAAAATTTTCTTGATAAATGTCACATTTTCATATTTTATAATCGATATGTTAGATATGCTGAATAAGCATGATGTGACAAAATGAGTTGCGACAGTAATCAGTCATCAAATTTCCTATCATCATATCATACACAACTCATAACCATCGTTATACGTAAAAGCAAACAAATCTAAATGGGCAAAGACAAAAAGTCAAAGGACAAAAAAAGTCACAAGAACAAGAATAAACACACACATAAAGAACGATCTCATAGCGGTAAATTTCTACTTTCTATTCAAATGATCCCATTTTTTATTTAGACGCGCACCCAATATATTTTTTTTTTGCACATTTTTCGTGCACTTTTATAAATTACACTTAGCCTTAAGTACTTTCCTTTATAAGTGCTTTGGTTAGATAAGTAAGCATATGGCATATTAATAATATATTTTTTTCTTTCACCTTGCTAAATTTAAATTTTCGAAAATAAACATTCAATTTTGAATAGAAAGTTCAACTAGAATTTACTTGTCTCTTAAAAGAGACGCGGGCGAAGACAAAAACAAATCTAAATTTGTACAAGCGAACGAAGAAGAAAAGAAGGACGCCGAAGTAAGAGAACTTGGTCAAGAAGTTACGAACAGTAATGATCAGCAAGATGCAGGGTTAGATCTCGAAGACCAAGACCCCGAAGTTGAAGATGCCGTTAACACTCGATCAAGCTCCTCTCGAACTGACAAGATGATATTGAAGTTAAAATTTAATCCAGAGTCACTTCCAAGCTCCAAAAAACACAAGCATAAACGTAAACATAAAGAGCAAGACGAAGGCTCACACCATTCCCACAAAATTACTGGAAAACGTGGGGAATGTGATTCGTCAGACGAAACTGCCGAAAAAGATACTGACCAATATAACACGAGTGATAAGCATACGCATGCTCGAAAGAAATCAAAACGGCATAATTCAGACATTGTCCCAGTGAATGACGAAGTTAGCAGAAGTATACAGCCACATGGTGACACTTCAAGACTAAGTACTATTGAGAGAGCCAGGGAAGAACCTTTGAGTGAGAAACAACCTACTGTTACTAATAATAATTTAACGAATGAAGTATCTGAGAAAAGCCCGTACACTGACACTAAAAAAAATAACGAAATTTCGAAATTGGGAGATAATGGAGGGCAAATGACTCCTCATGAAAACGGGAATAACTCGATATTTGATGACAAGATCCAAAATGTTGACAATAATTTCTCAAAGAAAAATTTTGATGACAGCGACGAAAGAGAACCCTCTCACGATCAAAAAGAAATATCCAATTCCGAAGTTTTGACTCCTACTTATCAGCTCAGGGGGAATCGGTCATATCCTTCGGTTGTTGAGGAGGAGAAACCCAAATATTCTGAGACACGTCCCAAAAAATATTCAAAGGTTCCAAAACCCGATGTTCAACCAATCAAAGATGAAGCTATAGTAGTTATTTCGCCACCTAAGATATTGGAGATCAGTCAGCCGGAGGTCGTAATCACAAGTAGAAGGGAAGTTGATAATGGAAATAATAATCACACCAATACAACCGAAGAAACGGCTTCATCTTTTCAGTCTACCGGAAAAAAAGGACCTGCACGTAGACTTGGAAGACCTCCTAAATCACAGAGCGTTCAACAAAAGACAGCAAAGAGGACATGGACTTGGCAGAAAAAGAAAAAAGATTTACGGACAATTTTAAGTAAATTATTGGATTCCTTCAATAAGTAAGTTTGCAATTAATCACTTAAACGAAATAATTGGGTTTAATTTACAACATATAAAAATATAGAAAGGATGCATACGGCTTCTTCTCAGAACCAGTGGACACTAGTGTTGTGACTGATTATCTTACAATCATTCAAAATCCGATGGACTTTGGAACTATGAGAAAAAAAATTGATTGCAATGAATACACGTCTATCGATGAATTTAAGGTTTTGCAAATTTTCCCGTTCTGATTAGTTCTTTTCAAAATATTTGTTAACATTGATTTTTTATTTCCGTTCATCTATTTGCAGGAGGATTTTTCTCTAGTTTGTAACAACTGCAAAACTTACAATGCACCCGATACCATATATTACAAGAGTGCGGATAAATTATGGCAATTTGGCGAAAAGGCCATTGAACGTGAAAGAGATAGTATTCTATTGGAAGAAGAAAAACTGAAGGCGACAGAAGCGATCGAAAATGGGAGCCAAGGAGGAAGAGTTGGTGGCAAAAAAGTATGGTACAATAAAATATACGTCTTTTCTTTCTTTTGAATCTCCTAACCGGAGTTTTTTAGATTGCAAATGGAAATAATATATATGGTTCGATCTCCAGTCGAGGTATTGTGATTAATTTTTGGTTTGCAAAGCTACAGTCGTTAGCGAATAATTAGTAAACTAAATGATACATAGCATCTTCGACGCGACAACCTCGGAGGTCTAAAAAAATTGATCCTCGTAAACTATTTTATCCGGATGGTTCGATAATTCCCTGTAAGTTATTATACGATTTTCATGGATTAATGTTACTCGAACATCTGACCAATTTTTTTTAAAAAATAGTTGGAGATCCATCTTCTATGATCCCGAGATCCCCTTCGTTTGGTGAAACTCCTCTCCTCACTGTCATATCATCGAAGGCTCAGCGTCCAGGTAGTACCTTTTTTTTTCACAGTTCGTTTCTCATATGAAATTTATCAACATTAACCCTTTATTTACAGCCCGTTTCGAAGACTATGGTCCATATGCGACATTAGGAATTGATCCTCCCTTTTTTACTTCAAACGATAAAAATTTTCTTTACAACATTTATGGTGATGAGAAAGGTTACTCATATGCCAAAAGTATTAAGTCCTTTGTCAAAGATATGGGCGATGAGATGAATCAACAAGTTGACCGTTTCTTAGATAAATTAACTCGTGGAGCTCATTCTATCGACCAGAGGGTGGCCCAGATGATGTCCACTGCGAATCATAGTATTTCATATGACAATTCGATAGTTATGCAAACAGAACTTGGTCCGGTTAATATAAGACAGGAACTTGATCGGATTCGAAAGCTTTCTGAACTTAAGAAACAACAATCCGACTTGGAGATGTGGAAAAAAGCGAAGATTGATATTGATTTTTTGACTGGTGATCAAGAGATGCATTCCATTATGCAAAATATGGGAGATAGTCAACATAACGTCCAAGAATTAATTGATCTTAATGCCAAAGACTTGGCCGAATTGATTAACATAAGGCAATCCAGTCAATCAAAATCTGATAAGACGGAAAAGCAAATTAGTATGTAAAAATTGTATTTTAAAAATTGTTGTTTCTTTAAAATGCTAGTTCTAACATAAATTCACATTCGACAGCCGAAGAACTTAACAATCGCTTTATTCAACTAGTACAACATGCACCTGATTCGGAAAAAATATCTCACACAGCATCGGCATTACGACCACAATTAACAGATAGTACATCACTCCACCAATCGACCGCGTCCTTTCCTCTAGGGAACTTGAAGACCCCTTCTACTCCACTTCAGCCCATCATCATACCCCAAATGAATTCTGCAAGTCATAATTTTTCAACCGTCGAACATACTGATCCCATCAGTGCATTAGCACCTTCCTCGATGTTGCATGAGAATAATCTATCCGGTGGCTCTTTTCGGGCTCGCACAAAGCCATGTAATTACAACCCAGGTAAGTATAAATATGTTTATTATGTTTATAAAAAAATATTTAATAACTTAATTATTTTTACAGCTGGTAAATGTGCTAATTGTCAGACAACTGATACTCCCGGATGGAGAGCGGGCGAGACTCCCGATCAAAAACTATGCAATGGTAAGGCTCTCTACAAATGTTTCAGTTTACTCTGAACAATCTTGCGACATATGATCATGATTTTTATTATTTTTGTTTAGCTTGTGGATTATATTACTCGAAAAACAAGTCGCATCGTCCTTCCAATTTATGGAACACCCGTTGAATTTCAATACCCATTAGTGACCTTTAGCCTGTTCGAATAAATTCAGCCATAAATTAGATGTGGAATTTGTGATATAACTGATTTACATGGCTTGGTACACTTTTTGAAATTAAAACCCTTGACAACCAAAATTGTATATATTTTCTAAACTTAAAACCATTGAATAAAAAATATGTAAAAGTAATTTATATTATATAACCCATTAAATTAATTTTATTTAAATAAAATTTTTTTTTATTAATCGATTATTATTACAAATATTCATTTATTATTATTATTATTATTTTTTTTTTTTTTAATTGGTCAAGGGCATTAGATGCGAGGTTTTTATTGATAAATTAATATCCTACCATTACATCAAACATCTTTACATACTAGACTATTGCTATCCTAGATGTAAACAAATATTCATTTATCAATATGCATTAGTTTAATTAATTATACAATTATTGAATTATAATTATGTAAATAAAAAAAATTATTTATTTAACTTTTAGTAAAATTATATAAGCATGCATATGTGGTTTTATAATTATTTCACCAAGAAAATATTGAAAGAATTGTTATTTGTTTAAAATTATTTTTTAAATTAAAAATTTGTTCTATTTTATAACTATTTTTTGCCTAATATAAATCAAAACCTGTATTTTATTTGAAATTTTTATATACAAAAGTTGAACAAAAATTTATAAACAGTTTTAAATTTAATATTAAATTAAATCAATGATATAAATAAAAAAATATTTATTTATTTATTGTTTAAAAAAAAACTATTTATTGACAGAATAAAAAATATAAATATTGAAAAGCTTTTTTAACCAATAAGATAAATATTTTAATATATAGATGGTTTTTTGTTCCAAAATTTTTTAAAAATTTATTTAATAAAATTTATTTATTTATTTAGTTAACCAGCTAGGTCTTGCTTAATATATTCATTATTTTATTCATATATATATTTCATGTATTACAGAAATTACTATTTATAAACAATTCTACATATCATTATACTATATTAATTTTACTTTATATTAGCTTATTGCTATTAGCACTATTCCAAGAAATCAATCTAAAGCTAACATATCAAAAATTCCATTAGTATTATTATTATATAAATAGTAGTTTTGTTTTATTTGATACTGTGAGAATTTTTAAAAAAAGTTTGAATTATAAAAAGAATCTTCTAAATTTCATGTTATATTATTTTCTTAAGCTACCTAAACTATATATATGATGAAATTGAATTCAGATATTTTTCAAAAACTATATTACTATTAAAAACATAATAAATTAATTGGAAATTATATTTAATTGAAAATTGTATTACCATATATGATAAGAATTGACAACAATAATTATATATATAACTTATATTACAAGAATATATCCATATATTAAATAAGATTAATTAAATAATAGAAATTATATTACTAGTTTTAAACCATCTAATCTGTTAATTCAATTATATAGAAAATTTGATCTTTAAAAATATATAATTATGAAATCAATACTAGGAAGTATAAAGAAGTAAACCCTTGATGCCAGAAAGGATGGGTCGTAGGGAGTGATTGTGATAAGGACCCTAGTGACAGTTAATGGGTAAGAAAAAACAGCCCTCTGCATAGTCCATACCTAGGTATGAACCCACCTCCGAGGTGTAAGTTGGTATCTGGGTTAGAATAAGGGCAGGGTCATCAGTTAATTAGCGATAGCTTAGACTGTTCATGTAATGGTAACTTGTAAATCATGTGATTTATGAAATAAAATCCATGCATGTATTGCATCTTAGTCCTTAAAAAAAAAATAATAATAATAATAATTATGAAATCAAAGTAATTATAATAAATATATATATATATATTAATAAATACTTTAAATTAAATTTTTAATTAGCTTTAATTATCAAATTATCAAATTAAAAAATTAAGTGAAATATAATTTCTAAAACTTTTAGTAAATATATTAAGAAGTTTAATTAATATAAGCTGCCAAATTTATAGTTTTGAAAATTGAAATCAAACAGATTTATATAGACTTATATAAGATTTAAAATATTATTAAAATAATGATAAGTTATAATCTATATATTAAATTTAATATAAACTTAAGAATTGTTAATTGAATTAAATCAAATTATTAAAATTCTTTTTCAAATTTGAAGACATAAATATTAAGATGTAATTTCTATATAATTGATTAATTGTTTTTTTATTAATATATTATATTATAAAGTTTATTATATTAAAAAAAAATATAAATTTATAAAAATCAAATTAAAAGTTTTTTCTTATACATTTTTTCTATTTTGATTTGATTTCAATTTATAATTATTAAAAAAACCAAAGTTTCTATCTTTATATAGTTTAATTGTTTTTAATTAAGAGTTAAATATTTAAATACAATATATAGTATATAAAAAATTAATAAATCTAATATAAAAATACAATATATAATATATATAAAATTAATAAATCTAATATAAAAAATAAAGTTTATATATTTTATTTCCTATAAATATTAAATTAAAAATATGTATTTAAAAACCTGAAAATATTATATACTATATTATTAATTTACAAATATATTATTTTTTTTTTTTTACTGTGAATAATCATAAAATGCGAGACTTTATTTACTAATTTATATTTTTGTACACCATCTTATTCGGTGGGAGTTAATCCTAGACTATTGCATATATAACTTTTAATGTTACCACAAATATATTGTTTTTTATACTTATATATATATATATATATATATATACATATATATATATATTTAAGAAGCAAAAGACTATTACACTTTATTTTATTATTATAATTTTAGACTTGTAAATATAATATTTATAACATATCTATAGTATAACATATATCTCTCTTTGCTAAAAAAAGTTAAATGCATGGCTTCACAAATGTGATTCATCTTTTATACTCCTTAGCACTACCTAAAAATATAGAAAAAAAAATTTCAAAATCTATATTATATCTTGAATAGCATCTAGCTACCTAGAAAAAAATTATTATCTAATTATATGAAGGTGCTGTAGCCACCATATACAGGTTTACCTTCAAGTTATGATTAGAATTGATACATTTGCTTTTCAAATATAACTTGATATATAACAAGTAAAGTAAGTATTAATTTTATACTATATTAAATCCAAACAACATTAAAGTAAAACCAATCTTTTATCATTTGCATCTAGTATTAACCTTTCATTTGAACCCATTACTAGGACTAAAGGCTGAAAGGTAGCAAATGTTTTCACTATCATGACCATCATAATACAAAATCAATCTTTTACCAACTGTATCTAACATTAATCCCTTATTTGAATCTATTACTAGAACTATAGGCTAGGAAGCAGCAATTAACCTTACTGTTAAAATAGCTTTGGAGAATATATTTTGGATTAGGGTAAGTTGAAACTGGAGTATATAGTGGAAGTTTAGATATAAAAATATAAATAAATATATATTTTTTATATATTCTTTTTTAAAAATATTAAATTTGATTATTTAATTAAAATTATAATTTAAAGTATAATTTTTTTTAAATAATTTAATATTTTGTTTTAATATTTTTAAAAATATATATCTTATTTTAATTTAATAAAAATTTAAGAAATTATTTTAAAATTTTTTAAAATTAATTATTAGTTATAATTTATAAAATTATAATTTAAAACAAAAATAATTAATATATAATTAATATTTTTCTAATTAAAAATTTTTTTTAAAAAACTTTTAATTAATAAAAAATCAATTTGTACAATTAATAGAACTAATAACATATTCAATATTTACTTATTATTTTATTATTATTATTTTTTTTTTTTGAAAAGAGCAAATGGCTATTACACTTTATTATATT